TTGAAACAGGTTGTTATCCATTCAAATGGATCTTAGTGGAAGGGCAAATATGGGACATAACAAGTTAAATCTAATTTCAAATTGTGATGAAATTATCGTACTAAGTCCACTTAAAGTAATGCGAAAATAGTGACGTGAACTGAGTCGATCCACTAGACTTGACTCGGTCGAGCATATCCACCAAACTTGACTCAATTGAGTAGATCTATCACAGCCAATTTAAGGATAGTTTGATGTCTGAGGTACATTCTACACAACCTTACTCGTTAGGTTCTACGTTTACACGACCCTACTTGGTATGTTCTATTTAACTCTAATTTTTGCTATTAATCCTTTGTTTGACTTAGACATCAGAGTATGTTGGACTTAACTCCACACCAATGTATCTTGTATGTGCAAGTGTTCGTCATAGCATTCAACGACATAACTCGATCCAAATCCTACGTTAATAAGACTCTATATTATCTTAGGGCTTAGATTCAAAGTTGTTTATTATGGAATTGATACACATGACGCGTAAAATAGGGTAAGAGTTCGTGAGAAATGCAATAACTGAATGAGGAGACTAAGGCATGTGACAATCTCTAATGGGCAACAGAAAAAGAATGCCTTTATAGGTTCTTGTGGTTAAGATTGAAGATGACCAGACAAAGGATCCATCTAAAAAATTGAAGGCAATTCATTTAAATTTTAGGTGAGAGGGCAATTCAAGTTTGAAAAGGAGGGCATTTTTGACAAGTCAACCACTCTAATTCAACCTCAAATTGACCCACCCAACCCAAGGGACAATTATATGGAAGTGAGGGCCACAAAGGAATATTCCACATTTTTCTCAAGTGTAAAAACAAAGCCAAAAGCTTCCAACTTTAACCCTATAAATGGGGTGAATGATGAAAATGGTATGGACTACTACTTGGCCTTCAAACTTGAATCCATGTTTGTTTTTGTACAAAATCGATTTGGTTTTACTTATTGGTAATCAAGTAGATTTGTTCCAAGATTCTCCCATTTGAAGCAATAAGCAAAATTTGTATGGATTTAGACCGTTATTAACTTTTTATTTCTATATTGATACGATATTGTTCACTTTATAACTTGACCCACATTTGATCTTTCTTTGCATCCGGAATATAGTTTTAGTCTATAACTTTTGATAAGTCTAAATTGTTAGTCAAGACTGTTTGTTGTAAAATTAACAAAATAGAGTGTTCTTCACTATAGACAGAGTAAAATATCTCCATCATGCTCCCTCATTTTAGAATGAATCAAAGGGAGTTTCAATTCTTAAATTAATGATATCGATCATATTTCTAATCATATTTGACTATTCTGATTAAGTAGAAAGCGTTTTTCCTATTTAAATAACCAATTATAGCTATAATCCATTATTACCATGAATTGAAAAGATTCCTCTAACTTATGAGTCACACACCATCAAATCAAAAGGGAAAGAAAGAATTGGAATCATATTAAATTGAATCTACATATATGAATGTGACAAAAAAAATTACACAATTAATGCCTTGAATTTGAAAGAAGAAAACAAAAAAAGATCTTGGCAAACAAACAGTCAATTAAAAAGTAGACTGTTTTGAGGGCTTGTCATGTTGAAGAACTGTGGAAGAATACTTTCTTTTTTTTTTCCTTTTCTCTCTGGTGAAGGAGATTTGACAAAATTGGAGCAAAATTAGCCGATAAGAAGTGGAGGGGGCCAGTTTGGTAACGTTTCTATTTCTTCTTTTCCAATTTTCTTAAGAAATTTAAGCATTTTGTAACTCATCTATGTTTCTTGTTTCTCCTTTTTGGAGACATTCTCAAAATTGTATAGAAATTTTGGAAATAACCAGATGGGTTTCTTCTTTATTCTTTCCATTTCCAATTTGTTTCAAAACATAAATAAAAAGATTGTTTTTTTGTACTTAAATTCATGGATGTTTGAGTAATGCGATTCATTTTTCTCTATTAAAAATGAAGGAAAAGAAACATAAAATAGAAACATTATCAAACGAGTCCCAAATGTTTTGCCCTCGGACAGAAGTAACATTCTTTGCCAAATAAGCTGATAAGAACATTCTTTTCCATGATTACTATAAAAAGGCTAAGCAACAGAATAACTCAACTTTAAGCATATGGTGAGTGACTCATATATCTAACATTCCAACTTTCTCAAGTACAAAATTACTTGGGTACCCTTCCGTTTATTCAACTTTGCATTTGAAATATCTACAAACAGAGGGTGGATATGGTCCGTATCAATTTTACTATGTAGGTGTTTGATTATCAAGTTTCGGGATTTGGGTATGAGTAACATCAAGTCAGATTAGGAAAACAAATTAATTTTAAAAATTTAAGTTCATTTTGTTTGTGAGGGTATGATCGGTAAAAATAAGTTGATAGTCTGCTCAAATTTTGTAGGCCATAAGAATAGCAAACTTGCAATACTCTCTTATATCAAATTTAAGCTCGACTTCTTGATTATTTCTCCTTTAATCTCGTGTTATTTTAATAATCTAGGCATAAATATGTAAAAAGATATCCAAAATTCCAAAGCCAAAGATGCTTATTTTATAAACAAGATAAGAAGGAAGAAACAAGAGGCATAGAGTCTAGGCAAAATTCCCACAAGTTTCAAAGCTGTTGGTTTTGCCAGAATGGTAAAAAAAAAAAAAAATAATAATAATAATAAAGAATTTGAAGGGTCCCATCAAAATTAGTTTGTGAAGACATTCTCTCTCTATAATTTAATTAAAAAAATAATAATTCCCAAATGGTGGAGAATTTTGATGGAACTCCTTAAAACTATGCATAAATGCTGCAACAACCTATTAAATTCATGAAAAGGAGAAGAAGAAAAATGCTACCCACTGGCTACTGATTTAAAATTCTTGAATCAAGGGGCCAAAAAAGTTGGAATTTCCCATTGTTTATTTGCTCCAAGATATTTATTGTTAAATTAAATTGGTTCATCTAGCTTATCGAGACACATTTTCAATAAAAGAAAATATTTAGAGGTCCGAATCTCCGCTGCTATTGAACTAAAAGAAAATTTGACCTAATTTGAATCATTTAGTTTTTTTTGCTATACCTACCCTTCACATGACTCGATCCTTCCTACTTTTCTAAGATTTTGGCCCATACAATCTCTTGATGTTCTATGTTTTCCTAAACCAAATCGTCAAATAACACTTTATTTGACCTAATTTTATTTTGAATACACCTTAAACAGAACTACATATTTGATTTATTTAAATCTCGAATAACACTTTGATTGACTTAATTTTGTTTTGATGACAACTTAAATAGAGTTATATATTTAATTTTATATATTACATTGAAGATGCTCCACTTAAGTAAATAAAATAATTAGGATTAGAGGGAGAAAGAATATTTGAAATAGTGTAAATTTGGCCTAAAAGAATGAACCAATTCACACTACTTTTTGATTGAGAGGATACGATGAACCTACCAAATTGAACAATGAGAATATACACCTATGTTGTTGGCCACACGCACTCCAATGTTAGATTTGAGTTTGTGTTAGGTGTAGCAGTAGCATACTTCAACTACAACTTTCTTCTCTATTTATAGAAGAAAAAACCTAAGACTTTTTAAATCTCCAAAATCTGAAAGACTCTAGTCGAGTAGGTAAGAGAACGGGGCTAGTCTAGTAGACCTGTCTCATGGAATGTGGGACCCAAAGGACTCGACCCATGAGATTGGTTCCATGGGCAACTCAACCTCGTGGACTCGACCCTCATGTTGCATGACCCATGTATTGGACCTGCAAGTTTCGTACTCAAGGGCTCAATCTGCCCAAAGACTTTAGAAAGTTTAGATGACCTGAGTCGAATTACTAGACTTGTGTTCGTTTGTAGATTAGAGTTTTACTTTTCCACATCAAACACAATTTGTTTATCACTTTTGAAGATGTAGTTCCAATCATATCGAATGATTTTTTTTTTTAAAATTGACCTATACATTACAATATATTTACTCTAATTGCACCATCTAATTAAAATGGATACTTTTCTTATGATGGTAAATGAGGAACAAATCTAGGAACATGGATGCAACTCATTTAGTGATCAAAATAAATTATCTTGTTTATAATGGATCAAGATTTGAAGGAAAAAGGGAAAAAAAAAAAGGGCAGAAGTGGGCATGTAAACAGGTGATTTCAAATAAAATCTTGAAGCATGTGACAGTTATTCTTTCCATGAAAGTATGATTTATCCCATTTGAAAAGGTCATATCTCTTTTAACAGCAAGAATATAGTAAAAGTTTCGTACAAGCTATGATTCTTTCCACTACTTTTTAAGAACAACTCAATTATCTTTTTTTATTTTTATTTTTTTTAAGAGATGAGCAACTCTATGTTGCATCTTAACATTTTGTCAACATTATTTAATATTAAATATGATGCTAATTTTGTATTAAGAAAAAAAGTAACCAGTATTTCTGTCCTTATGCTTTTGAGTGTCTATTTTAATCCTTATTGCTTCGATAAAAATATGTATTTTTTAAAAGTTATCATTTTAGTTGATTCATTTTTATTTTTATCTCATTTTTTATTCCAATGTTATATATAAAATTTCTTGAAATATAACTATAAATTTTTCCAAAATAAACTTATATCTCTCCCTAAAAGATTTTGAGTTCGATCTTTCACTCCACATGTTGCTAAAAAAAACTATAAATTTACATCACATAAGTTTTATTGTATATAAAGTTTATGTTGATATTTTGCAAAAAGTGACCATTTTGATAAAAAAATTTGTGAAAAGATAGCTACTTATCTCGGAAAAAAAAGTCGTGAATTCGAATTTACACCCAGGAACATAGATAAAAACTTCTGAAAAAAAGAAAGATAAAAACCGAAAATAATATCAGTAAAAGAGGAAAGAAAGAAGGAAAATGAAAAGAGAAAAACTGACCGTGGGCTTCCCCTTCATACCACTTGAAGAACACACTTTTTTCTTCTTTTCTTTTTTTTTTTTTATTTGAATTATACAGTTTGGTTCCAATTTCAGCAGCCAGAGCATGGCAGCTTTATCTGTCATCTTCTTACAATCTCAATGATATTGGTAAATGCCTGCCATGGATGTTGCAGAAACATGATTTGAAAACGCCACTTTCAGACCCATCTCATTGCAGCTTACGATTGGTGGTAAGATTTCTTTTCTTGAATCTTTCCGTAGATTATACTATTAGGGATTCATTTTTCTCGATCGAACAAACAAGCCCAACAGTCGTTTCCTCTTAATTACAATTATTAATCTATAAGCAAATCCTTTAATTAGGGGAAAAAACCAGAAGAAGAAACTTTAGGGCAGTAAGGCTGAGGTAGATGGAAGCTTTAGGGAAAAGGGTAAGTTTCCTTCTTGAAAGGTGAATGGTTGTAATGAATAGAAAGAGCTTGTAATGTAATACACAACCAAAAAAGAAAAAGGTGAAAACGTTAAGACTCTGTCTGAAACCCTCTCTGATGCGACATCACTCATTATACTGCTGCTTAGGGTTCTTTTTTTTTCTCGTCCTTGGGGCTATGAAATTTGTGAACTTTTTTAATTGTTCTTTAAATTTTCTTTTACCCTTTTGAGAGAGAATTCTCATTGTATGTAATGAAGTTGATGGTTTTTATCTTATGGGTTGGATTGGAGGTGCCCACAAAGATTTTACCTCCAATTCTGGTCTGTTTCTTGTGGGCTATATGAAAACTACTCCCAGTTGTATAATCCAAGGATAACCACTAGAAGTAGAAGATTCAAGTTTTTAATTTCTTTTTTCCTTTTGGGGTTGTGGGAAATATTTGACATTTTCTGGAGGAAAAGTTTGTCTTCTTTGTGGTCCTGTGGAATCATAACTCTGAGAGCATGACATTCAAAATGTATCCATCCCCATTTCATTTATGATCATTCATATATTCTTATTTGCAAAGTGGTGGTCTCACTTTTAATTCCATTTGTAATGTGGAGGGTGGGGGTATAAAAATAACAAAATGAAAAGAGAAATTATTGGGGGTGGAGAGAGAAATAAGAGAAGAGAAAAGTGATGTGAGAGAATGTATTCATGTAATGTACATATCAAGACTTGAAGTTGTATTTTCACCTTTGGTACCAGATCCTCTGTTCCTCCACCCACCCAATCATAGCTCAACACCTCATAACTTGTTGGACAATCTTGCCCCTCTTTATCAACTGAGTAGCTCTTTTACCCCCCAAGATCTATTAAACAGATAAGAATTTAAGGCTGCAGGTGAATAGAGTGTCCCTAGTGGCTATAAAAAAAGATTGGTTTTTCTCTCCACGGCCTCCTCTCCTGCTTGTTCATTATCCTCATCTCCCACGATTTCATTGCCAGTAGAGAGAGGAAGTAGAGTGTGACGGAGAGATGGGAAATTGCCAAGCCATTGATGCTGCAACACTTGTGATACAACATCCAAGTGGGAAAGTGGACAAATTGTATTGGCCTGTGACTGCTAGAGAGATCATGAAGATGAATCCTGGTCACTATGTTGCTCTTCTCATATCCACCACCATGTTTACACCAAATGAAAGTAACAACAACAGCAACAACAACAACAATGAAACCAGCAGTAATTCAGTTCGTTTAACTCGAATCAAGCTTCTCCGCCCAGCTGACATGCTTGTTCTTGGCCAAGTTTACAGGCTCATCACCTCTCAAGGTCAGTTTTTTTCTAATCTACCCTTCTTCCTCTTTTTTTCATATGTTTTGTCAATTCCATCCCAAAATACTCTGAAGTTTCCTAATTTTGAGGCTTAACTTGAATTAATGGCTTCATTTTATTTGTGGGTTTCAGAGGTTATGAGAGGTTTATCAGCAAAGAAACACGCAAAGGTTAATAAAAACCTGTTAGAAGCAGCAGAGAAGCCAGAGAGGAGGAAAGAACGTGCAGCCACAGGGTCAGATTCAGCGGCCAGAAGATCTGAACCTGAAGACCTTGTTCAGGTGAATTTTGACAAACACCAAAAATATTCTTAATTTTGAAGAAAGTTTTAGACGAATGTTGTCTGTATTTCCAATTTTTCTAAAAATATAATACTTATCTAAATGAACTGCCTAATTTTTCCAGCAGGCGACCAAACATGAGAAAAACAATAGACCAAGGACAAGTACATCGACAACCTCGGCCACAGCCAGGTCAAGAACATGGCAACCTTCATTACATAGCATCTCAGAAGCTGGAAGCTAATCATTTATGTTCCCTATTTCCCACATGGTATCGAGAGACAGGGTGGCAAAGATTGTACAAGGCTCTTTAAGCTTCTCCAGGGAGAGAGAAAAAAAAAATAGCAAAAAAGGAGAGGTAGATTTGAGAAAGTGAATAACAAATAAGGAGAGAGGCCAAATGACCTTTTTGATTCAAGCAGAGAAATTCCAACACATTGCTGATATTAGGGTTCGTGGAGTGGCTGCAAATGAGTTATTTGAAACTTTTTCTTCAAGTGAGATCTTAGGGGAAATGAGCATAGAACTGTGGATAGGAAAGGAAAGGAAAGGAAAGCAGGGTGGGTATAGTAAGGAGTTGAGATTCTTCAAACAACTTTGTAAATTCAAAGTGCTTTTCAGTAATGAAAGAGAGCTCATTTTTATTACCATTCTGTTTCATTCTTTTTCATTCTCTTTTCAATAGTTTCATCTCATCTGTTTTAGCAAAGCTGACAATTGATTGTGCTTATTCTGCTGTGTAAACCTTTGGTTGATTCATAATAACATGAGATTACAAACAGGCAAAAGAGCAACTTTGAATTTCTTTAAGATCTTACAACTCAGGAGCACAGTTGATGTGGATTTGCATCTCCCTCATCTCATGTTAGCTAGGATTGTACGGTCTCAAGTCTTTTCCAACATATTTTCTTGGATCTAATCAAATGGATTAATAATTCTGTCCACTGTTTATTATTATCAGTATTATTTCAAAATGGTGAAATGGGCTGAATGTAGTGGGAAAGTAAAGGGACCTGGAATTATTTGAAATTATGGGTTTACAGTGGCTGTTGGGGATAGGATATTAACGTAAGAGGATTGTCTTGCGAGATTAGTTAGTTCTTAAGATTTTCGAGGTTAGTTAGTTCATAAGATGATTTAAAAGGTTAAGAATTTAATTTTCATCCGGAGAAAATAAAAGTTAGATATAATAGAAAAAGGAGAAAAGATAAATAAGAAAGAGACACTTGCCATGCATGCAAGCAATCAAACCTAAGACAAAATGAGTAAGATATAGTGCAATGTGACAGTGCCCTCGTGCATAGCTACAGTGAAGTAAGATAATTGAGGGCTAATTGGGATGTGATGGATTAGCACTCAACTCCCAGAACTTTATCATCATTTCTGCATATTTTTGACCTCTGATGCAATGATTAACTTGATCCCTTTTTTCTGGGTCTGGGTGAACTTTAAAATAAGAGGAATCTTCCTCAATACCCAAGGCATCATTACTTAAAAATTTATCATTTTTTTCTTCTTAAAGAAGCCAGAGGAATTGCAGACCACAGCAGGAAAAGCACAAGATTCATAGCTTTTGTTTTCTTTTTAGGTTTTTTTAAGTTATTGCTCCACTTCCGGGATTGCTTTTTGATTAGAGAAACAACCAGCAGCTCATCTCCACTTAATAGGTGGAGCGTTCATCTGGGTCTTTAGGATTCCAACCAAACCAAACCAAATAATTATAATTTTACTCAGATTTTCTACAAACTTTGATTGGTTTTACTTCAACTTTATCTCTGATTCTGAACATCATTTCAAACTGCAGTCGTAAATATGAGATATGAAGCAAGTTATCACTTAGATTTTGCACTGTTTAACTTCTCTTCTGACTCAAACCAGCTTTTTACTCTGTTTATCATCCAAATCCATTGATTGATTGCTGAGCTTTTTCAAATTTCACATGTTTCTGCCACTTTCCTGTTATTGACCTCAGTTCAATCCATCTGGTCTTGGTTTTGTTACCTTTTCTCCAATATCAGAGCCCTCAGTTCTTGCAAACCTCTTTTTTCCAAGAGAGACACATTAATGGAATAAAACAAAACAAAGACACCTTCCCTCCATAGTGAATTATGGCCACTGATTTTCTCCACTATCAGTTGATTGTATCATATCCTCTCCACACAACACTACCAAGCTGATTGATAAGAACAATAACTGTTATATTCATTGTGACGCCAAGCTGTTTGATATGTCACTCAAGTTACTGATTATTTGAACTTGGTGGAGCAGGAGAATAAATATCAATAATTTCCAGTTCTACAGGTTATGAGACATATCATTGGTCAGCCATTGAATCTCATTCAGTGACTCCACTGACTCCAGCTGTTAGATAAGAACAATCATTGAGATATGCAATCTCATAATTTTAGCAGATCTTGTTTTCTTGAACACATAAGATCAAAAAGAAAGGAGCTTTCTTCTATGGCAGGACTGACACAAGTATAACCACATCTTTCAGAATGTTTGAATGTGATTTAAAGTTTGAGCAACCATATTCAACAAAATGATGAAACAAAGCAGTCACTTCACATAGAAACAAAAAATATTGAAAACGGCTTCAAGTCTCAATTGAATAGGATAACAAAACATCACAGATTTTCTGAAGTGCTTATGTAAGGTCTTCAGCTCACACTCAAAAAAATTATTGATATAAGTACACTCTATAGAATCGCAAACCCGAACCTGTAAGTATCGAAGAAAATTGTAACTTTATCCACTTCTCGTGCACGTTATAACAGTTGAATCTGACACCAAGTTTTACTCTGCTGTGTTCTCATTTCTCAGTCACTTGCAATCTCTTCATGCTTGTCAAGTTGGCTGAAATTCCCCTTCTGTTTGAAGAGTTGGTTGTGATGATGTCTACAATATAGACGACTTTCGTGTGCTATGTAGTTCGATGGGCTAATCACACATCCTCCATGTGAGCACCTGAAGCAAGATCTGTGGTATGATTTACTATCTACTGCCACCTGATGGGAAAACAAAAGAGAAGTTGAACAAGCCATTCTAAGACAACATTCAAACTTTCCGAATTTGGAACTTCCAAATTTGTCACACTGTCTCAGGTTGTAACACTCCCTTTGGTATAACAAATTTTGATTCTCTCAAGAAAAACAACTATGGAAATGTTGAACCATTTTAGTATTTGAGTTTTTAGGTTCTAAATCTGTTGTCAACTTTAGTGAATTATAAAAAGAGGCATTGGAAGCAGCTGCAGAGCTACTAGCTTTTCATTTACCTTCTCAATTGGATAAACGGTTTTCTTGCAAGTAACACATTTGTCTTGAGTTCCAGCAAATAAACTGGACACCTTGCTATTTGTTTGAACCTTCAAATTTACAGTCAAAAGAAGTTAGCTTTCCATAAGTTAACATCAAGTAGTTAGACATCAGATTATAAGTATTGATTGTGACAAAAACTGCCAAAAAAAAAAAAGAAAAAGTCAAAGAAAAACCTGATTGGTAGACCTGTCTGTTCTAATGGTTCTTGGAGTACCTACAGAGAAGAAGGAAGAAAATGATAGATCAAACAACCAGACGCCATTGAAAACGGAAAAAGACTCAACAACAGCCAAAGTAAAGTACCTTCAAAACTTTTCTCCAAACTTCCAGTCATCTTGAACAACTGATCAAAGTGAGGTTTGCAATACAATACACCTTCAAATGAGGAGTAATTGAACAGCTGCAGGGACAGAGAAACCAGAATTAGTACTGGTGAAACGTTTTCGCGTCTTGGGCACCAACAAAACCACTAATACTTCACGATCCTACTGATCTTAAAACACAGGAAACCTAAAGTAGCGAAATTCCTTGTCAGGTAAGTTCAACCCGCATGAAAAGCGTAACCATCTGAGCACTATCCCGGAGAGGGGCTCGGTGAAATACAAATACATGTACAAACTCAAGTCGAATTAGGTACATATTGGACATGGGAATCATTCAACTGTTAGCCAAAATTACAATACTACAACCAGTCCATAAAAGGGCTTGCTTAGTTATAGATAGAAATGGAAATATGATCATTTTATATCAGTTTGAGATCACACTGAGTATTATAGATAGGATCTGGAAACAGCCATATATTGAGAAGATATGCATCTATTCTATTCACAAAGTCTATTTGTTCTGAATGGTGTAGAAAATCACAAATCAAAAGAATTCTCTTTCATCCCACTCTCAAGCTCTTTCAATCTCCAAAGTTTACCATAAACATGTGAAGGAAGACCCATTATAAGCATCCAAGAGACATATATATCTGTTTTCAGATGAGAAGGAAGAAGAAGGATTTGAGAAGAATTACCTTAAGAGTGCTTTTGCAATGGTGGCACCTGAAGCAGGCCTTGTGGTAGACTTTGTTATCAGCAGTAAGCTGATCAACCAAGTAAACGGTCTTGTCACAGGCCTTGCACTTTTGGGTCGTCCCTGAAAAAGCCATCTTCATAAAATCTGAAGAATTTGAAACAGAAAAGAACTGAACTATCAGCCTGAGAAGAAGAAAAAGAAGAAGAAAGAAGGGAAAGAAGAAGCAGAAGATGTTTCCTTTGCCCTTTTTATGTCGTCTCAGAATTCAGCAAATTTCCCTCTTAGTCTTTGAAAATTTCTGAGTCAGAGATTACAGCTCAGGCACATACAGACAAACTGACAAATTTGCCAGTAATGGGCAATTTGAAATTTTGACCAACATAAATTTACACGTGTCAAGTGAATACTATGTCCCAAACAGTGGATTAATGTTGGGTTTTAATGCAATTTTATTACCATATACGTTTTTGGAAGTAACAGAAGAATCAAGTTTATTTTATGGAGAAGAGGTCAGCTCAGTTACAAAGTTTGAGAGATGATCTGTAGAATGAATTATAGAATATGATCAGATCAATGAGAATTATGATGGCAGATGAGATTTTGGAATAAAAAATTCCATTTCTTTGAGTAAGCAAATGTGTGACAGATAGGAAATGCATGTACAAGAGCTTTGAGAGGGTATACATGACAACTTTCAAGTACTATACACATTATAATTTGTTCAGTTCATGATTTGACATCTCACAAGTCTTCTAACTAATTATTTATGTAAATACAAGGTGTCGAATGCAATATCTTATCCATTGAATTTTAATATTTTTCTCCCTCTTTTAACTTGAGCATAGTTTGACTTATAATATTTTTCTCTCTCTTTTAACTTGAGCATAGTTCGACTGATTAATGTACTTATCTACGACTAAAAAATCGTGACTTCAAATCTTCATCTTCATGTATTGTGCTCTATCTTTAACCGTCGATGATTTTTCTTGTTGACATAACATTTAATGGGAAATGGAGCACTTTGAATGCTCTATGTTTGTGTTGTTGGTTTCTTTTCAATTTAGCTTTACATCTTTTCTCATTCTCCTTTTTAGGCGCCGACTTGGAAGAAAGCTTGAATCGATCTGCCCCACCCACCATCCTTGTTGTCCTATTGCAACAAATATAAACAATCACACTAAATTTTAATTATTCCCACTCTTTTCCATTAAATGTTGTGTAAATAAAAAAAAATAAACAAAAAAAGTCACCTAATCCACCAATTTGCGTCATGAATTTTTATTAACATGCTAGATATTTCCCCAAAAAAACTCTCCAATTTTAACCCACTCAATATTGAACCCACCCACCGCCTAACCTAATTTTCAATGGTAAGGATTAAATTTTAACCATTTTTAAAATATAAAGACTAAATCATTACTCGTAAAAATTTAAGATTACATCGTTGCTTTAATAAAATTTTAGACACTAATCAACAAAAAGAACAACCTAATATTAATATTAATAATTTGTAATCTATTTAAAAAAGGTGAAAGGGTTATTTGTTAATTTATTTTAATAATATTTCCTAAAAATCCATCCATATCAATACTTGAAATTTCTATAAAATTAAGACTTCAAAGCTGCTTGAAATAATAATACAAAAGAAATATTATCATATACTAGAAGCATCTTTCTAGCTTGCCAAGACCAAGAGTTAGGTATTGGGTAACATGCCAATAAAAAACACCAACCAATCTTACTTGTATTTCCATTTTCTTTTTATTTTTCTTCATGTGGATGTGGGTGTTACTGCTAAATAACATAAATATCATATAAGCTAGCCCCAACACCGGATAAATCATGAAACCAATTTAATATAACATGAAAAATTCAAGTTAAACCATCTTCTCTTCAAACAATTTCAGCCACGTGAAAAAGAAAAATCACCTGGTTTATAAAGTAGTTTCAGAACTAACTTTTTGACTAATTTGTACCTGAATTCAGATTCAGTTTACCTTCCACCAAGAAAGTGTTGTTTCAATTATAGAAGTGTATCCTGATATCCCTTAAGATGATACAGAATATCAGGAAAAAAACATATTATTGATGATAGAAACCTAACAGAAATCGGGCAAAGAGAAGAACTTGGTGCTTCGATATCCTTTATTTAACACACAAATGGAAGATAGAAATCCTTTGCCGGACATCTTAATCGCTGCTCGGATACACATTCTATCATGTACTTCCGCTGGCGGTCTTTGCCTGTCGAGCTTCTTCTCGCATGGTTGCCTTTACGTAGATTTCATAGCAACAGCCTGAAAAATATAATAACAAAGATCAAAGATGTTGATTTTGGATAAGCGAGTGCAGAAAATTTATTCCAAAAGAACAAAAGAGAGGCTAGGACATATGACATCTCCTGACCCATCGTCACAGGGTTAGAGGACTCGGGATCATCTTGTTAGCAGAAAGCAAAAGCTCACTCTACCCAGCCACAATTCTAAAGTCTCGTCATGGTGACCCCAAGGGTTGGTGTACCTAGCAATAACTCACTCAAAATGACGTGATCTTGAATGCCTAAGTTTGGCAAGGACCTTATATTCTCCACCACTTATCACTATTGAGGTATTGAACCTTTGTGATGGAAGTATGGGGTGGAGGATGGACATTTTCGCAACTGCAATATTTTTTGGGGAAAAAAATACTTGGAAGTGCTGGAGGGAATTTACTCCATTTAGTCATTGAGTTCAAACGGAAATATTTTAACCCTAAGATTTAGAAAATAGTTATAAATTTGAAATGGTCCCTAAGATCATTGTGCCATTTTAGTGCTATACAGCGGCCATGGAAGAATTAGGCTACTATCTTGACATAAAAAAATTAAGGATGGTCATAGACAATAAGCCACTTCTACGTGTACTCACAACTCGATCCAATTAAATACATAGAAAAAATAGATACCTAATCTATCAACCTGTTCTTAGCTAGTTGTATCATCTTTAACATCTGTGGATAGAATTCAAGGTTCATGCCACTAAAGTCTAAAAGGCACTAACCATAACCTAGCAGTTATCACTATCCTATAATTAAAGAGAATCAAAATTGTGAAGAAAATAAGCCACTTTTACGTCTACACACAACTTGATCCAATTAAATACAGAAATAAAATAGCTACCTAGTCTATCGACCCGTTCTTAGCTAGCTGCATCTTTAACATCTATGGATAGAATTCAAGGTTCATGCCATAAAAGTCTAAAAGGCACTAATCATAACCTAGCAGTTATCACTGTCCTCTAATTAAGGAACCTAGACCAGTTTGGCCAACAGCAGGGAAGTTTGAATCGTAAGTGGTGAAGATAAATGAAATCTTATCTCTAGATTTCACATTTTTGCAAAAATTCTTATAAGATAAATTCAAATTTTTGATCAACTTAAGAACTAGGGTCCATTGACAAACTACCATTCTATCCTACATCGCAATCTCAAGTTCCTTCTTTTGGGGCCATTGATACCCAAAAGAGACTCCCAAGAACACACCATACAAGATACAGCAACGGCCCCTTTCTTCTATTTCATCAGTATCATCATTTTTACCTTCTAAGTTCACTTCAGATACTTTTCATTTTACTTCCTATTAAGAATCAACCAAAAGACAAGCATATCGGACGTTATGGCTAGTTTCGATTTTAAGTGCCTGAAGCCAATTTTCACCTCTAAGAAGCTCCAAAAGATTTGTCAATCTTTATAACAACATACATCATCCAAAAGATTCAACCACATATCATCTGCATCAATGTTGCCACAATTGCAAATAATATGAGATTGCAATTTGTGGCAAAACCCTACTAGAAGTGAGCAGTTCAGAATCTTTATAAATCAAGGACCCCACTGAACAAAGAGAAAAACATTTTATTCAAACTTATGACAAAGATCACAATACCTGCAACGACGACAATTGTTAGAATGTCTCCCATTCTTTTGATTCGAGAGACACCCTTCTTGTGTGATCTGAACCGCCTAAGAGAAGGGTCCTCAGCTAATAACTGCCAGACAAATCAACATGGAATTCAAGGCGACAATAAATCATTGCAATCACAGACTTAGCAAATCTTCAATCAAAATGCAAGAGGTGAACCATAAATTAGGTGGACATGTTTACACATTCACATGCTGAGTAATGTCCTTCATGAAATGTAAGGAATAAATATTTTAGTGCTTAAGAAAGTATCGCTTTGGAAATTATACATGCTGAGTTTAAGAACATACATGCAAACTGCAAAGCAAGCCCGTAACTTTTCCAATACAAGGAAATGAAACACATTTCGCCGCGGTTTCATGTCATTAGCACGGTAACAGATTAGTTTCGAAATCAGCACAGAAACCTCCCTTCCCCTCCCCTCCCCTCCCCTCCCCTCTAATCTAATGGACCTAAATACAGGAGTTCGAGCAGTTTGATCTGAAAAGGCTTCCATCTAAACAGGCGTCGAAAGATTCAGATATCAAAAAGCGAAGGAAACTAGATAGACATCCATACGAAAAAATCTGAGCATGTACCTACGAAATATATTATCATTATAATCGAACTTAACGGAGCAGCAGTAAACTATAAGGAACTAATTATCCAACCGACGGAATTAACCGCTACAAAAACAATCACAGATAGTAAAAAACAAAAATAAAAGTAGACATGCTTACAGCCTTCTCACGAGTCCCTGGTTCGACGTGGAATCCACGGCGCGAGAGTGATGAAGGATCCGCCTATTGGCCAACCAAAAACTCAAAAGATTGAGTGAAAGAACGATTAAAAAAGAACTAAGAGCCGACCAGAGGAGGAAAAACCTGGGATTGAGATCGGAAATGAGATGCGAGAGTGGTTCTGTTGAGGAAAAACGCCATTGTTTCCGACTTGAAGATGCGAGAAGGAAGAAGAGAGCTGTGATGCTGCGATTAAGCAGAAATTCGGTGAAATTAAAAGAATCCTGCGAGGAGGCTCTTCTTTCAGTTCCAGGGAGAATGTGGGCAATATGAAAAACCTATTTTTTTTTTTTACCTCTTACCTTTTATTATTATTATTTATTTAAGTAAAATAGAGACGTAAATTCGAAGTGACTTTGGATCGAACACAAAAGTTAATAATAAAGAGTGTGTTTGATAATTTAACAAATACTTGCATGACACGTATGAAAATATGAAATGACACTCGTCCGAAAGTAACTTTAACCAAAGGAAAATGATAATACGTTAGTAATTATATTTGAAGTGTTGCAATCAAAAGGTTTTGAGTTCGAATTTCCTCCTCAATATATTATACTAAAAAAATATATATTTAAAATGTATGTGTATTCCAACCTTCGATCTATAAGGCCAGAACTTCCTCCACATAATAATCACATGAACGGGTTCAACGTTGAAGTTTGTGGTAACCATCATTCACCTATAAATACTAGAAATAACTTGACATGCACAAGTCTAATAGTAAATTATATGCTAAAATAGTTTGGTCTGATACAAACTTAAGCATCGGAGGTTAGGACTAGAGTTGATTAAGAGAGTATAGGTTTAAACTATACGACGGCCACCTATCTCATAAATTAGTAGTAAGGTCAGACAGTGCGGATTTTGATTTGATTTAAGAACTTTTTACACCATCAACCATCAAATTCTGGTGTAAATAATCTGCATTCATTTCCAAGTTTAAATCTTCGCCCTTAATTAAAAAAATGGTCGAATATTAGTTAATTTATTTATCACTGGGGCATGGAAAAGGGACTTGAAACCCTTGCGACGATGAAGGCCGCCTATCTAAGATCGACATTCGAGTGTTTCTTAATAATCAAATACTCACGATAGTAAAAATGAAAAATTATTTTAGTAATCGCATTGAATCCAAATTTGATCCCCACATTTGTTGAAGTAAAAATAAAGTAATGAAGAATTGAATCCTCTTCGTAAGAACTTCACGCTTTTTTTCCCCAAGGAGAGGGAGAGAGATATATGTCTTGGAATTGAAATTGAAATTGAAATACAAGTGGATCGAGAGTCGCCACGCGTTTAAACTTGCAAGGATCAAGAAGTTGCGAATCAGCCGCATCTCGCTCTCGATTAAGAATGCGTATGGAAATGGAAACCACGAACGAGAAAATTACGACATGGCCTTTGGAGGAGCAGCTGCTTCTGCTACTGTTACGGCATCCAAATTTGCAGGAAGATTTAGCAGTAATCCATTTCTTCTATCAACTAATCACCTTCCCAAGCTCCGCCTCCATCGCACTCCCTTCTCCGCATTTCCAACCAATCCACCTGGTGCGATTCATTCCCTTTCCCTATATTCTTGTGACGTAGAACTTGCTTGAATTGCTTTGCTTGGGTCTTTTGAATGTTGATATCAGATATGCTCGCTTTTTGCTGATTGACACTTGGTTTTACATCTATTGGAGAATATAATTAATGGGTTTAAGCCTTTGAAGAGGGTATTTTGAAAAAAAATGTCGCACCATTCTCACCTCTCCCTGAAGATTGATGATCGATACAGGATTGAAATACCAAATTTGCGCTGTAAGTGGAGCCGCAATAGATCCTGTTTCTTCAAATAAAGAGAATGGAGAACGGTCACCTGAAACTTGGAAGATCAAAATGCTCTATGATGGAGACTGCCCACTCTGTATGCGGGAGGTTGTCCCAAAATATCTCCTTCGCATTTAGATTTAACCTATTGAAATTGTTCTTTGATCGTATAGTAGAATCTTGCTTTTCAAGTCGTTTTTTCTATATGTCTTTACTTGTATGTAATTCTTTGTGAATTCGCTGTACTGTCAGGTTAATATGCTGAGAGAGAGGAACAGGCGATATGGCACAATCAAGTTTGTTGACATAAGTTCAGATGATTACACTCCTGAAGGAAATCAGGGCCTCGACTACAAAACTGTATGATGTTTGACTATTTCTGTTTTCTGAATGATTGAATACTAAGTCAATTATCTGAATTTTGAAAGTTACCGGATTTTGAATGATATTAACTCCATGAACTACAGGACCATAACATCGTTGTTCTTTGACTAAAAGGAAAACAAACAACTACCAGTTACTTTCCAGTTAATGTTGAGTCAAGAGTGTATTTCCTTGGACAAATTTTTTTCTTGACCTCTAAGGAACAGTTATGAAGTTTCGCACATTTGGTTGTCATTCAGGTTATGGGAAGAATCCATGCAATCCTTGCAGATGGTACTGTGGTCAGAGATGTTGAAGTATGCTCTTTTATTCTGCTTCTGTTTTAATTTAAAATCAGCAGTAAAATGATTATTATATCATGGTTTTCAGTTTTCTGTTGGGTGGTCACTTGATGTTCAAGTCGATTATTCTTAGCAATCCAACTTTTCCCTGTCATGCTAAGTTTGAATTTTGACTTTTATCAGCCTCAGCCTCCTTATTCCTCAACTTTTGATCATTTAGTACTTCTCTTGCTGAAATATTAATGTTTGACAAATATTTTCTCAAAAGATTAATCTGTCTTATGCCAACTACTTCTTCTACAGGCCTTTAGAAGGCTTTATGAACAAGTTGGTCTTGGATGGGTTTATGCTGTTACAAAATATGAACCAGTAGGTCTTCTCGAGTTCATTTGGCTTTCAACTTCTGTTCTCCCTGAAGCAATTTTAATCACACGAACTCTGATTTCTTAATGCCTTCACATTGTTGCTAATGAACAGCTTATTGTTCCCAGGTTGCAACACTAGCTGATGCTATATATGGTGTCTGGGCAAAATATCGTCTTCAGCTGACAGGTGAAACACGACCAAAATACTTTTAGATCACATAGTTTCTGTGTCTATAAGGGATCTCAAATGACCCATGTCTATAAGGAAGATTTAACTCCATATGTATGTCTTGTATTATATAACTTCACTTCTCACACATCTAAACCAGTCTTCTTATGTCTAGAACGTTCTGTCTCGCGGTTAATCGATTTTTAGACATAAAAGTATCCACATAAAAGCATTGTAGCTGACATCAATAAAACTTGCGCTTCTTGAAGTTCCTGATGATTTTCAGCATGATTGTGGTCTGTATTTTCTTTCGGTTTCAGGCCGGCCACCTCTGGAAGATATTTTGATAGCGCGGAAGAAAACCAAGGTATGAAATCTATTTTGATGCCTTTTCCTTGGGGTTAAAGACGAGTATATATCCACCAGTTTTAACTTACATCAATGAGTTCTCTGACGAGAAAAAGTTCTTCATTGGTCTATCTTATGGTCTATTAAGTTGAAACATCGTAATTTCGACATTCTTTTCCAGTGTGTTTTACAAAATATAGAAACTTATCTTGTGCTTTTGAGCAGGGAATGATTAATCTTTATATACGTGCGCACATGTTCAGCTTTCTATTTTCTACACAGGATGAAGTATGTAATGACAGCAATGCTTGCAAGATGTAATCCTTCTTGGCAACGAATGCTTCGGGATCTTTGATGATAATTCTCGTTTGGTCGTTCGGTTACTAGAAAGAGTAGAAAATGACTCAAGCTAGTCAATGTAATTAATTTGAAAGCCAGTAGTTCCTCTTACATTCTTGTATACATAGCTTACAAAATTTTCAAATGTAATTTGGTAAGAAATCATTGCTTTTCCTAATGAAATATATTGATTTGAGATTCTAACAGAACGCCACTGGAAATCCTAACCATCTACAATTTCATCTCGTTGTTTCCATTTGCATTTAGATCATCTTTCTGTTGAATTTCTGAGTTTAGGATGTAAACCTCATCACAATATTTATACCATTTCATATTCTGGAACGTTTACTGTATCATCTGAGGAGGGATCGTGAGTATCTAATTCTTACTATTATATGGTTCCTTGTTTCTAAGTTCCAATGCAACTTCATATCAAGAACATGTTTGAAGCCTTTTGTAGTATGAAAGATGACAAATTTAGCCTCAGGAGCTTACTGTTACAGTCATGGCAGAGGCTTCAAGGACACTGCTGCTGGAAAATGTAAGCCGTTGGATTCTCCTGCATGGATTTATTAGTTCAAGCATCAAGATGCTTTCGGAGAAAATGGAAGAATCACTCTTCCAAATAAGCTTCATTTCTTTGCATAGGGTAACTAACAGTCAATCCATCCAATTGAAATCAATCAAAGCAACATTGCAATCGACATCAGACAGTTTCGTTTTCAACGTACTCTCACTACAGAGAAGTAATAGGTTCATGAGGTGGATCAGGGAAGACAACTGAGCACATAAAATGACCTCTTTAGTTCTTGCTTTTTTTTCTCTCTCAGCAGAGAGAAGATTATAAAGAGTCTACAGGCACTGAAAAGGAGGAAAAAGTGAATGCTCTCAAGACACCAAGTCCTTGAGAAGAAAATATATGCACTAGTACTTTAAAAACCTCCCATTCCTAATGCAAAAAAAGAGGCAGAAAGAGAGTTTATTTTGTACAGAGATGTATAAACATCTGCAAAAAAAAAGGAACCGAAGATAATCATCTTGGGCATCCTCATTCATGATCAACCATCAACCGAACCAGAGACTTTCTGAAAGTGTTGAAAATTGCTATATAATGTACACACTTAATCAGAGAGAAAATTCTTCTGGCTCAGAGACGTGCACAGCAAGCCAAGACACATGAAAAAACTGCACAGCCCCATCCATATGAAATAACAACACCCCCCTTGCATCTCTTCATAACCTGGACATTTTGGGTTTTCCAGTCTCAACCATAGTCCAATTTTTCCTTTCCCCGACCCTGTACGGTACTGTTGAATCTCTCGAATACGCGTTTATTTCTTCTAATAACAGATCTCATCAAAATGAACCATCTTAGCACACCATATATCTGAGTCCATCTAATTTGAGCACGCGACCACGATGAGGGGCCACCTTGAAGTGTAGCTTGTGTTTCTAAAATCGAGCTACATTGCACATCAGACTCTAAAACTTGGAGATGATCCACATCATAGAAAGATGAATTTAGTGGTTCGGAATCGCAGATCAGAGAAGAGTGAGCAAAATTTGGGGAACTTGGAATCTGGTCATATCTTACAACCATAGTATCGAAACCCTGCAAAGCATGATCATCCAAACCGCCAGCACTCCCGATGGAACCCATCGATGAAATAAGGTCAGAAGAATAGGCATTTGACGGTGTAAAATCAAAGCCACTAAATTTTGGAGAAGCCAAGTACTTGCCACCATAAGAATGGTCTTCCGCTGGTGAGCTTGGGGTGTAAAGGAAACTGACTGGTTGAGAAGAACCACCTACTAGAGAAGTTTCATCATCAATAGAGTCAACTTCTTCCCAATGCTCGTATGCGGAGATAACCAAGTTGTGAGCATCAACCTGAGTTCAGAATGAATGTACTAAATCAGCTAACAAAAATGTAGAGCAACTCAAGAGTATATATGTATATTTAGAGGTGACAGGAGATGAGTGCCTTTTCAGTTTCAGATAGCTTATCTATGGGAACGTACTGGTAATCTGAAAGTAGCCCCATCACTTGTCCAACAACATTAAAAACCACGCCGCTTTTCTGTTCCAAATCACGAGGTTTATACAAGTAAATCTTCCTATCGAGCACACATGTTTGTGCATGCTCAATTGTAGCATCCCACATTTTGGTAGACATACCAGGGCCAAGAATCTGTGTTTAAAACCAGAAAACAAAAGTATAGAAGTATGTATATGTATATAAAACAAGTCTACTAGAAAGTTAATGCTGCAAAAAAAAGTAGATAAACTATACGCAGGAGAAAGATATATACATTACGAAGCCTTGCAGGATATACATAAAGTTGAGTTAGGAAATCCTGCACCGTCTCAATGTTTTTATGGCTCAGGCGCTTATGAAAGGCTCCATCTTTACTAATTTTCTGCAATCTCCACACTTCGTCTTGCAGAGATGGAGGGTGGTGCTTCTTGTACACTGAACCAAATGGCAGGCGTCAAATTTTCTTTAATATGATGACAACCAAATACAAAATTACAAAAATAAATAGGCCTTCACAAGCCCAGGATGGGAGATAATATGTTGATACTGAATCCGAAAGTTCTGTTTTTAAATGATACACTTCCTCTATTAGTGTTAAAACACAAAGATACGTTAAAAGTGTTTTTCTACCAACGTTTACTGGTGTTTTCCAATTCTTCAAAAACACTCATCCATGAGATATACAAGTCATCACATCACAAGTTTCACATAATGGAAGCACCGAACTTTCAAATTATAATAGTTAAATAATAGTATCAAATATCAAGCTTCCAGTTAGCAATTTATAAGTTCAGTGACAACCTAATTCAATGTGAACAGGAAAAATAAAGGCCAACTAGAAACTTCTTAAGCCATCAGCCAAAAAAATAGGAAATAAAGAATTTTATTTGATGCAAACTTCATAATGATTATGTAGGGAACAAAATGTGGAGTGTAATTACTAAGGAATACCATATTGAAGTTTGACTTCAGCGTTTCCATTTTCTTCATAAGAAAGGAACCATGCCCAGAATAATTCAGTACATTCACCACACATCTAATATTTTGCAACAATCTACTTCAATATGAAAGTTTTCACTTTGGGAACCAATAAAATCAAATAACATTAACAAAACTAAGTACTCACATTCTCCACGGTGATCCCTGACCACAAATGATGCAGTCTTTGCTTCTAGAATTCTTGTTCCATCATTGCCGTCTACAATTCTTGCACCCAGCCTGAACCTACGACTTCTGGTCCAGCTTGAATTATCAGAGAAGGATATCTCACCTACCAAACCAATGCCATCTTTGAGATTCACAAATGTATCTCCTGTAAGAAGTGGTTTTTTTCCTTCCCTCTCTCTTACAATGTTATTCTTAAACCCCTCTATAGTGCAATTATTATCACCTCCGCCCTCAAAATCACCCTCGAGCACCACAATTTCCACTTTGGCTGAGGACTGAGGTCCAGCATCGACGATTTCCCCACTTAGTTTGTCAATCAAAGCCACCTTCAAGTTGGAACCATCTCTTCCTTCAATTCGAGCTCCAGTAAAAACCGGGAGAGACATATCAGCTGCAAACTTCAATTGAAAGCATTTCGGCCCGGAAGAATAGATTGCTTTCCCATCCTTTTCATCATTCCTTAACATAAATGCATGATATTTCATCAACAGCTCTAATAGACTGTCCATATATGGACACTTTTGGGTTTTGATCTAATTTCATCTCTTCTCTATTTTTTTTTTTTTTTCTGAAGGAGGATTTGACAATTCTTCAGCAATTGAACATAAAATCATCAATAATTACCTTTGCACATTGGTTACGTACTTCCTTAGTGCCAATTCAACCTCCTCCCTCACCTGACAGCACACAACTAGAAAGCTTACAACAAAGGCTAAAAGTTGTAGCATACAGTAGAGCAACATTAATGCATTTGTTAAAACATAAATATACTTTTTGATAGAATTAAAACGTACAAATACCAAACCAAATAAGAACTGTTATTGCAATCCCAATAATTAACTTCAAAATATCTGTTATGTCTTCCTTCAGTCTTTCCCATGAAGTAGCCATTTGTAGAGTCTACAGTACCAATCTAAATAGTTTTTGCTCCACCCTTATAACGAATGTGTTCGATATTCATAAACTGTAGGAGAATTAAGTGTATGATCCCGAAACTGAGTGCACAACCAGGCCAGAGGAAGAAATCAAATGATTCTTCTCCATGACCCCATTTACAAAATCAATATCAATGAAACAAGAAAAAATGAGAGAATAGGGTACCTAAAATTCTGATTCACTAATTTAAGATGATAAGTATAGGTTAATCAATCATGAAGGTTATACTTATCCCTCTTAGATCCTTGGTTTATGCCTTTCATAAAGCTCTTGTAGTTCTTTGGTCTTTCGACTTGGAAGGAAAATATTTTATCTTTCATTGTCACTGTTGTAGCATATTATGTTCAAAAGCTGACTCTATCTATTATTTAACTATTCATTGTTAACTTACTACGAGGCTCTAGGTCCAGTTACTTCATGACTTTTTACTTGAGTATGCTATTATTGTTTGGAGATTATGGTAACCGAAAGGTCAGAATTCAAGAACAAGAAAGAGAGGTTTTCCTCATCATATGCCTACGATACCCATTTCTAAAGCACTTAAACTTTTTCCTACTGTGCTTGTGGCTCCGTTAGAGGATTCATTGACAATATATTTTACAACAATTCATTTTTTATCCAAAAGAAATGGAAAAGGTCGTTAATGATTGGTAAGGGCTTGGACTTGTAGTCCAATTCAAAAAATTTCAACAGAAACAAAATATTTTTGATTGATTAAACGTTGCTATTAACATATTTCCTGGAGTGATCATGCTTACCACTTTACGAATGACTGGCTCCAATAACTGTTGCATTGATTGCAGTGACAACGCATCACGAACCACACTGTACATTATTAAGAAAAAGATCATCATAATAAGTTATTAGAACAAGCAAAAAGAACCTTTTAATAAAAACACATTGTATTTAATACAAGAGAGGGACATGCAAAGACTCCAAGAGGCTTTCTAAGAGCTGAAAAGCCACGACAAGCATCTGCTATGTGCTGGAAGGTCTTGAGGTTCCAACAACTAATAGGAAAGTTCTTGCCCTTCATCTAACTTACATAGGAGGGGTTCGAGGGAATAATAGAAAAAATTCCAAGTAAGATATCCTCTGGCTCCGACGGTTTGGACTACACTAGATATTTTTTTTTAATGAACAACTAAATTTCATTCAGATAAATGGAAGTACAAAAGCATAGGCCACCCCAAAAAATCCTGTAACAACAAGAGTTACCACAAAAAATAAATAAATAAATAAAGGGAGCAGCATGATTAAAATCTTACTTAGACCAAGCTAATGCCAAAAGTATCTAGAAACCATCCTTCGTTACAGAAGGTAGGATGGACAAGCACCTCTTCCACCATATGGAAGACATCTACTTAGAGCCAAGCTAATACCAAGAGTCTCTAGAAACCTACCCAATTTCCATAGAAAAGTGACATCTAGATAAGATATAATTCAAATTTTCTGAAGTCCTCTTATACAGAACGTATCTTAAGACTCAAAACTATTGACAAATATCTTTGGACAAAGTTCATGATGTTAGTCCATCCCAAAACAATCGATCAAGAAAAAAGTCCAACCTTTTTAGGAATTAGGGTCTATTCAGTGCTTGGCTGGGAGGAGAGAGGGGTAGAATGAGTAGTATAACAAGAAAATATTGATTCACAAGAGAACGGGCTTGATGTCTTGAGGGTCTATATATTGGAAGAGAAAACTTCTATCTAATAAGAGAGCGTGCAGACAAATCCACGGTTCCTGTTTAAAGAAGGGTCTCAAAAAATAAAAGTTGAGGAAATGGAAGGAGAATCACTAGTAAGAAATAAAACAGGCCAAAAAAATGCTTCGTAACTAGTAATAGGGAGTCCAACCTATTACCCATTTCTTATATCTCACCCAAGATCATACCTGATAGCTTCTCCAAGCCTACTCTGTTCTTGAGGGGAATCTCAAAAAAACTCAATTGCACACACCCAAATAAGCATGAGGGGAAACTCCCTTTAGGCTCACTCTCGTTGTGATGCCCTACATCAATGCATCATTTCACTCTCCCTAGAAAAATCCCTATGGTTCACCCAAAAAAGACGTATGAATCCTCTAGCCCTTGTACCACTTCATGTAGCATACATACAAACATTTCTCCCAAAAATTCAATTATACAATGAAGCCAGATCGCTCAACATTCCTACTTCCAGCCCTAACCTTCCAGCAAATGGAACTCAGATTCAAAACATAAATTACCATTGCCAACGCAAGGAGAAATGACACTGAAACCCCATGATCTACTCGAGAACTCCCATATGCACTATTCTACGAGAACAACTCCATATAGAGGTAAAATTAAGAAAACCCAAGAGAAGTAAAAGAGAAAGAAAGCAGAGTATGGTTGAGGTACCTCATCAAACTAAACTTCCTACGCTTATCATCGGGATTGTCACCATCAGCCGGAGCATCTCCATCATCCGGGTTTCTCTTCTGCGACAACATGGGAGACGACGAGACATACAGACACAGGACGATGCAGTGGTATTGGTGAAGATTGCAATAAACTAAAAAGACCAACATGCGGCGCGAGAGGCAAGAAGAAATTTTACAAATATATTCAAAACAAAGACCAAAAATTAATAGCGATCGACAAAAGAAAAAACAAACAAAACCAAAACCAAAACCAATCCGATCCACCCTGCTGCTAGTGCTAGCCTTCGTCTAAACTCGGCTGAAACTCACTCGTATTCGCCATTTCGTGGCTGAAAACTCAGTGGGTGGGTCTGTAGAAGAAGAAAGCTTTGAAGTCGCGGAGAGGAGGAGCGAGTATACGGCGGAAGAGTAGCAGAAGAGAGAAATTTTCCATTGGGGACGAAGGCGAAGGCGAAGGCGAAGGCAGTGGGTGTGTCAGTCAGAGAAAGAGAGAGCGTGTGGGTGGCGGAGTGGCCCTGTGAAAGCGCGTTGAGCGGAGGCTGACGTCAGCATTAGGTGGGCCCCACGGTCGAAATTGGATACCCTTCACACGTCTTCCTGCCTCGCCTCCGTAATATCACTTTCCTCAACCAGATTTACGTTTACCAGACCATTATGGCCCAATTGGGCCCATTTACACCTTTTTTTTCTTCTTTTTCTTTCTTCTTTTTGCTTTTATAAGGTTCAAATCGTCCCTTTCAACTTTCAAATTTGATGAAGATCCAATATTTTGGTCGTAGATATAATGTATTTATTAAAGTTTTTATCCCATTTTAAAATATCAAATTTAGAATTTGGAAACACTGCAAATATAAAAATATTCTTTTCATAATTTTGTTCGAATCACATAACCAAAATTGGGATTTAAACCTTCTTTTATTATTGTTATTATTATTTTCACTGTAAATGCTATAACAATTTATAAAATTCAAAGATTGTTTTTCATAATTTTAGTTTTGCGTTTTACATATTTTCCTCCTTTTTAGAATGCTTTCTCTATTTTTTAGTGCATCTTACGTAAAATCCACATCGGATGGATAGGCCAATTTAATTATTTCAAAATTAATAAAACTTGTACCAATGAACCTCCATTTTCTTTTTTAATATTACTTTTGAATGACTTTTAAAAGTAGTATTTTACCTTTTTTTTCCCCCAAAATGTACTACTTAAATACTTTTTCTCGAAACATTGTTTTTGTGATTTTAAATTTATTTTAACAATTAACGAAACATCATAAAGTTACTATAAAGTTTTTTAATTAACTAGAATCACTTTTTGCCTCACTTTTCTACACCTCTGTTTTAAGTTTTGTAGGTAACATAATTCAAATTAGGTAAATAGCTATATTTATAAGAATGAAAATTATTGTAATATTATTGTGAGCATTTAAATATTAATTACCAAAATCAATAGTCAAACGTGAGGGCAACGTAATAATGAACCCAAGTACTTGAGGGACCTTTGTAAAAATAAAAAATAAAAATAATTAAAAAAAAAGGTTGTTAAAGCCTCATTTCCACGAATCTTCCTTTGTACTTTCAACCTGACATCACTTGTAACAAATCTTTAAGACTTCGAATAAAAGCCAAATTGGCTTCACTGCCAGGCTTTTTCTTTTTTTTTTTATTCTTAATTTTTCAAAATTGCGACTTACATTTGAAATCCAAGTCCTATAATAGGAGCTCCTTGCATGGATTGAGCAGCCCCATATCCTAACCCCTGCACCATTTTAGGAGGACATTTCCTTGGGCACATTCCTGTTCAGATCTTCTAATATTGTGTCAATTTAGTTCATATCTAATAAATTTATACATAAACTTTGTTTGTTTAACATTTACGCCGTTAAATACTTTAACCTGCTGAAAATTAGCTCATCACATAATCCTTAAATAATACAAACAATGTGACACGTAGGCTATAGAGTTGACAAGGGAAACCTATGAGACACACTCATTACCAACTTTTTTCAAACTAAGAGACCACCGCTCAAAAACCTATTAGAAGTTTTTGAAGGTACAAAGATGTATCAAGTATCTGACAGAGTAAAAGTTATGAGGATAGAGTCTATATATTTTAGCAACTACTTTCAATAATCTCTCTTTCTGTGGGTGCAAAATAGATTCTCCCATAGACCAAAGCAATTTTTTTTACAAGGCATGAGAGCAATCGAATAGTGTTTGCTTGGTTGGGATTTTACGCCACAACCAAGCAAGAGGAACCAAGTTTGAAACCTTATTCAAAATAGTTATCATTGGTGTGTGTTATATGTGCAACCACAAACCACAATACCCAGATGTGCTACACGATCGCCGTCTGCAAGTAGTTGAATCGACTCCGCATTCTTCGTCGCTAAAACACCTGTGATCTGCTCGAGCATCAAGGATATGGCAAGCACTCTCAATTGGTTGGCCGCCATCTCCCGCCGTGTTCAGTGAGGAGGCCGGGCAGACTTGTAGAGACATTGCACTCAACCTTCTGGATGAGTTTTCACCCTGCAGAATGAATGCATTTCATGCCCCAATCCATTTCACATTTTAGCAGTGGCTCCCTGTTATGGAGGGGTAAGTAAATTTCAGGACTAGACAGTGGGAGAAATACCTTGATGGATGTCCCGTTAGCGAGACCATACACCTCCGGAAGTCGTTCGTGCCAAGAACTTAAAACTGGCAGAGGATGACCCTCTGTAGTGAAGATGTAATTTTGGTCGACCAGAAATGAGTCATCAAATAAAAGATATAAATATTTGCACCTATATAAAGAGGAAGACATTATTTTAGTGTGATGACCATGGTGGTTTTGTAGATTACAGAATTCAGAGAAAGAGAAAGAGAGAGACAGAGTTCTTACGTTTCAGAGAGGAAGAAACTATGTTGATGATCTTCCAACTGCATAGTTGTAACATCTCTGACACTTGCAAATCCTCCTTCAACTTTAGTGTACAAGACAAGGGACTTCATGATTGATTCACCCACTTCAAAATACCATGGATCTGTAATGCCAAAAGAAATGGTTTTTTGAGGAATAGCATGGAAAGAATGCCAGTAGCATACAGCGAGATGCATCATACAAGAACCAATTAGACAGCCAGACGGCATGAATCTGAAATGTTGATAAAAGTTTCTTTTTAGTTTTTATGATTTCAGAAATTCCATGTAACAAGAATCCAAGCAAACCTTTGGTTGCTTGATATAAGTAAAAAGTTGACTCTGCCAATTCTGGGCGAAGAGGATAATACTTTTCTGTAGGATGCAGCATTTGATGGTCAAGTAAATACCTGAACAATTTTAAATCAAACAGTCGGAAATTAAACGTTGTCATGGAAAAATACTGGAACTCAATAATTGAAACAAGACAATAAACAAAAGAAAATGAGATCGAACAACAAAATTTCTATGTTCTTGTCAAAACACTGGGTAGCTTATATAGATAGATTTGGAAGCAGCGTGCCTTTCCGGTAGAACTCCATATTTCTCCCATACATAAAAAAACTCACGGTGTGATGAATTAGCTGCCGGAATATCCCCAACAAGAACCTACAAACAGTGAGTCAAGAACAAACAGTCATTATTTGAGTAAAGTATCATTTACTAAAACTTAAAAGGCGGTAGTAACTAGCCTGTAGGCCTGGCCAAAATGCTTGAAGGCTTGTAAGCTGCCAATAGGTTGCTCTCCCCGTTCTCATATCAGCTTCATGATACCTATACTACCAAACAATTTCAAGTAAGCCGCCCAAATTAAGATAATAGATATTTGTATATAATCCTTTTGTTTTTAGTTTTCATCGTTGAAAAATCTATTTGGAGAAAAAAAAATGGTACGTGTTTCCATTTACCTTATCACAACTCTTGAAGCAATGTACATTGAAGATTACTATTTGTTATATAGTATATAAACAGTTAAAAAATTAATAAAATTTTATATCATTTAAGAAAATGTGTTAGTATTTAAATATTCATCAAAATAGTTTACACGCTACCATGGACCATGTCTGAAATATTTCTGCACAGCAAGGTAAGCAGTGTGGAACATTCTCCAGAATTCTTCTTTTCCAAAAAGTACATGAGCTTTAAATAGATATTCATAGAATGAATCAACCCCTTGAAGAAACCACAAGAATCCAACATCAGAAATACGGTTTTTCCTCTTCCAAGATATAATTATATATAATTATAATCCAGCAAACCCAATTTTCCTCTTCCAAGAGAATTATATATAATTCTAACCCAGCAAACCCAAATTTTCCTCTTCCATCAGACAATTATATATAACTCTAACCCAGAAAACCCAATTGTATAAAACAGGTTTTCTCTGTTGGACGTTGAGTTAATATTTCAAGAGTGCGGATGCACCCTATAGGAGATGAGTGGAAAACATAAAATCAGTAATAATGAAGATATATTAATATCTACTGAACCATATAAAAATCTGTATCGTCAGCAACAGATACAACTTACCAGCTCCAATTCCAGATGAGAACTCAATCCATTCGCCTGTTTCCACATCCAGTGTAGTTCCAAGTAAATTCAATGAACTGCGCATGCTCCACAACTTACGAAGAGCACGCAAAGCAGCAGATTCAAACCTGGGATCACCAGTCAAACGCGATAATGCTCCCATTTCAAGAATTAGGGAACCTATATCCAGAAAATAGTTGATCTATTTCAGACCATAAATTTTCGTGTATACTTATATTAACCATAAAAGATAAGACCCTTACCACACCCAGAAGTACTTGTTTCAGTAGTCTCATTCTCCATTACTCCATGCTGCCCACAGAATTTTGGATTGGTGCGGAGTCATATACTCCTCTTTAGAGGAAGAAAAGAAAACATGACCCAAAAAACCATATTCATATATTCTAAAACTGAAAAGCAAATTTCTGAAAATATCTATGGAACTACTAAGCATACCAATCTACTGAATAAAGCGAGCATAAGCTGCATCAGGAATATCATTCACATAGCTAGGTTTGAGCTCAATTTTAGATCATTTAATGAATAAACAACAAATGGCCACAATATTGCATGAGAAGAAATTGGATTACATTTCGACCCCCCGCGGCAAAGGAAATAAAACCCACGGAGGAGAAGAAAATAAAAAGGAATAAAGCAAAGCAAGATTTGGCTTGTTGGATGCTAAATTTATTTGGCAAACCTACCGAGATTCACCTTTTCTCATTATGATCATTTAGGAGCCCATACAAAGAAAATTGTTCAATATACAAACAGCAGAAATGATATTTGGCATCAGCTACATATCTCAATTCTCTACTCCTGCAAGATTAACTTGATAAAAACGGGAGCCAATGAGCTAGCTCGGCGGTAATTGATACCTATCTCTGAATAATAGGTCATGAGTTTGAATCCCTTCATTCCCATTTGTTGTAATAAAATGGACAGGAGCCAACAAATACAAAATCTCATGTAGGATCATATAGCATGGTATTTAATCTATCAGAAAATTTAAATTCAATAACACTTTGACTTAAGCAGACAATGGGTATTACCTTGAGGTTAATCCACGCATATGGCAACCCTGTGGGGGTATTAAATGCGGGTAGCAAGCGATTCCCTAAATCTTCAGCCAAAACTAGTAGTTGATTCTTATAATTTTGCCTAGCCAATCGGTTTGTGGAATCAGTTGCAAGAACATGGGCAGAAACAAGTCCTCCAAGAACTCTTATGTTGCACTACAAAATTGTGATCAAGAGTAAAAAGGCATATATTGCTCCATACACAAAATTTTAACTCTTTCTTAGCACAGAGATGCAAGCCAACCAAATTCATCTTTTTGGGGATATTTAAGGACTTGGGTACCTCAAATAGATTAATCCGTGCATCAACATCAAAATGTAAATTTTCAGATAGCCAAAGCACCGCCTTTTGAAATTCAGTGTTGTTACCTAAAATCACGAGACTGAAAAGGGGTCATAAATTATTAAACTGACGACTAACAACCATAAAAACTCAGGCAGTATATTATACCTAGACAATGATTCAATGAGTGTAAGAGCAGATCCATTATAATTTTGCGGTAGGTGTTCCAGCTGAAATTGGAAAAAGTACACAGTTAATGCACTCCCCTGCAGCCAATCACCACTTCTACAGCCATAGTAAACATTATATTGATATTGATCACCTTGAGATTACCAAGCTCACTGAGGGAGTCAGTGAAGGTCTTCGTAAGAGGTTTTAGCTCATCATGCTGGAAGAAATACGACAGTCAATAGGTTTCTACATAACCAGAGCATATGAATCCGTAACTAAGAGTACTTACCGGAAATGCATATGTCATATAGTTGTCGTAGGCATGGTAGAACCTGAAAGCATAGAACAGTTTGTTACAGAACTAAAAACTAAGAACATAAAAACAACTTTCCAAGAAAATCCTACAGCTTACGAAATTGTATTTGAAAATTCATTTGTGTTTATTAAGACTTTCAAATTTTAGTGCATTGGATGTTTCGAAAAGCCAAAAGTAGGTCCAAACAGCAGTTCAAACAGGCCATAAGAGCTCGTGTCGCCTCCTTTACCTGTCCCAACAATAGCATCACTATTCACTCCACCGTATCCAAGTTCAACGTTCTAAAAAAAACGACTAAATGTAAATACCAATGATCAGCAACCAATTTTAGAAAAACCATGACTAAGTCATAAGAAACTAAACAAAAAACGAGGTTCTCCAGAAAGACTCCATAGTGAAAATTTCCATAGAATCAGACGAATTATCTCCTATTCCACTAGAACACTAGAGTTGTTCGACACAATACCGATCCGCAGAACGATAATGAAGTCAGAACCACACCCAATAAACCGAAAAGAATAACGAAGCCACTGCAAATTAAATTAGAAATGCGAATGAAGATTATGAAGACAATAGGCTCACATCCGGCGGACTTTTTCCCTCATACGCATTCTCTTGGCAGTCCAGTAGTTGTCGGAGGTGGAAGGACCGAAGAGGGCGGAGAAGATGAAGAAGAGCAGAAGAATCCATGTCGCAGACCTGCAAGGCAACATTTATGGAGTCTATGGACTGGATAAGAGCTCCGCCAGAAGAATCGAATCGAATCGAATTGGGGTATAGAATCAATGCCGATGTGGATCTAAAACGAATTACAGCTCCAATCAAGACGCCAATAGAGATTTCGTTGTTGCGGATTTAATATTTTGATTAATTAATATACTTTATGGAGGAAGGGAGAAAAAAAAAACCTTCCTGTTTAGTTAACCGTATGATATATTGAAAGGGGAAAAAACAATAGGATAATCCACACGGGATATAAAATTAATATATGAAATTTATAGTTTTTTTTTCCCTAAAATTGGTTGCTGATCATTGTTTTAATTTGGCAAAGTAGTATCATTTGGCTTTTTTCTTTTTAGTTTAATAATTGTGGGTGAAATTCAACCACTTATTTTTAAGATAATAATATGTGCATGGTCTTGATTTCATCTTTTCTGTCTGCTAGCTACTGCAATTTTATTTTTTCATATTCGTGCTTTGATATTAACCATGTTAATATGACAAATGTATTACTTTTAATACAACAAGAGTGAAGACTATGTATAATATATATATGCATGTGCTAAATATAAATACCTCTTCAATATTTTATTAAAGTTTAAATTTCATCCGACTATATATTGAGTTTTTTATGATCTAAGAAATAAGAATGACAAATTGGAAAACAATATTTTTTTTTCCATGGTGAAAGAGTCATTTGTAGTCTGTTAAGTTGTTATATGTTAAGATAAAACGAGTAAGTTCCTGTTTTTTTATTTTTTAAGTTCGGTAATATATACGTAGAGGATTCAACACATGACATTTTGATCGATAATATAAATTTTAACTAGTCGAACTATGTTCGAATTTGTTTGGATGAAAAATAATACATCTACTCTATTAAATTGAATGTGGGATGTTTCAAACTAGGTTAATAAACTATATCTTATGATCTTGTATTTATTTATTTTCTTTTGAAACAGACAAAGGCAGATTAATTGGGTTTCTGTGAGCTAAGAACTTGCTTTGTTGATGATATATTTATGACTTCCACACTGTCCCTCCATGACTTAGAACTCCCAATTTGATGGTAATTATCTAATTCAAAGCTTTATGATCTTGTATTATTAATACTTTAATGTCTTGTCATGTCACGTCGTATCATTTTACTGCAAAAATAAATAAATAAAAGGACACAGTTGAAAAAAAAGGGACTATTCTGGATTAGGAAAGATGAGCTGAGTTTGCCATTTGATAACACGTTGTTTATGCAAAAGTGTGACAAGGTATGACCTTGTTAAGTTCGAACTCGAAAGCTTGTCGACTCTATACGTTGTAGTGCAATATGTACAAGAGAGCCAACTCTCCGACGCTCAAGTAAGTAAACAGATCGGATTCAATAGTAGGTTCGAGGAGAAATTCGATATAGAAATGAGGTCCCTATTTATAGGTACGAGATTCGACAAATCTCACGATCCGCGGTTATTTTTGTCGGATAGCAAGTCGAACTTGTCAGTTTCGACAGATTGATTATGAGTAGATCGAACCGTTGAGATAAATTGAATTTAATGAGAAATGACTAAGTGTTCCACCTCATAAGGTTTGAGGTGGACCTGCTCGAAATTTGTGCTCACGTGGGTATATCAATGTCATCCACATGGCATGGTGATTTTCCCCCAAAACACATATTATCTGTAATTTGACGTTTTAGAAAATTATGTTTGTCTTTTAAATTTCATTGTTAAAATTTTCACTTCTCTTCAAACATATTTAATTATTAGATAGATTTAGAAAACAAAAACAAAAACTATTACGCTTGTCATAAGAACATTTATAAAAACCATACAACAAAGTTTGTAACAACTTTTTGAAATAATTAAAAGTTAAGATTGGTTAAAACGTTTTAGAGTGTAAAGGCCAAATAAATAAAATCATATCGTCAAAAACTATATATAATCATAAAAATAATTAACTCGTTCATTGTTTTTTGTTTTTTTGATCACCAACTCGTTCATTTAAATTTTTATATATAGACACTATTTTTTGAGCGGAAAATACGCAGTCAACAAAAATCTTCTGGCAAGCAATTTTATGGAGTCATCCATGGAAGTCGGAACTGCAAAAATTTGAGAGACCATAACCAGCTTCCGCCATAACCGATCCCCTAAAAGCTCTCCCATCCACTGCCCCACCCTCCATCTCCACTCCTATTTCAAGCCCCCCTTCTCCATCCTCCCAATCCACCCATTGCTTCCTTCTCACATTCACAGTCACACAGTCACCGCCTTCCTTCCATTGTTCCACATATATCCAGAGGAAGCAGGTT